GGTAATTGCTTGAACCCAGGAGGCAGAGGTTGCAGTGAGCCAAGATTGCGCCACTGCATTCCAGCCTGGGCAACAAGAGTGAAATTCAGTCTCAAAAAGAAAAAAAAGAAAGAAAGAAAGAAAGAAAGAAATGAGGTTTAATTGTCTCACGGTTCTGCAGGGTGTACAGGAAGCAGAGCGGCTTCTGCTTCTGGGAAGGCCTCAGGGAGTTTTGAATCATGGCGGGAGGCAAAGAGAGAGTGCCTTTGGGAAAGGGGGGAGGTGCCACACACTTTTAAACAACCACATATCACGAGAACTCACTATTGTGATGACAGCACCAAGGAGGGATGGTGCCAAACCATGTGAAACTGCCCTCATGCTCCAATCACCTCCCACCAAACCCCACCTCCAGCATTGGGGATTACAGTTCAACATGAGATTTGAGTGGGGACACAGATGCAAACCATATCAGTGACACTGGATCATGGAGTCCTTACCATGGCCATGGTTGGATGCAGGAGCTGATGGTGTCAACAGGCAGATAGCCTGGAGATCATGGGTGTCCAATCTTTTGGCTTCTTTGGGCCACAGTGGAAGAAGAAGAATTGTCTTGGCCACACATAAAATACACTAACGATAGCTGATGAGCTTAAAAAAAATTCCAAAAAAACTCATACTATTTTAAGAAAGGTTACAGATTTGTGTTGGGCCACATTCAAAGGCATTCTAGGCCACATGTGGCTTACAGGCCCCAGGTTGGACAAGCTTGCTATACAGTGTAAATATACTGGGCAAAGGGATGGTTCACAGATGGACAAGATGGAACAGGATGGCTTGAGATTTCTTTTTTTTGAGATGGAGATTCACTCTTGTTGCCCAGGCTGGAGTGCAATGGTGCAACGTCAGCTCACTGCAACCTCCGCCTCCCAAGCTCAAGCGATTCTCACGCCTCAGCCTCCTGAGCAGCCGGGATTACAGGGACCCACCACCACGCCCAGCTAATTTTGTATTTTTAGTAGAGACGGCGTTTCTCCATGTGTTCAGGTTGGTCTCGAACTCCCAACCCCAGATGATCCGCCCAGATGGCTTGAGATTTCATCACCCTTCTCAGAATGGAGCTTCTGTGGTCTCTTCTTCGAATCTTCTCCTGAGGGCCTGTCTTCATCGGTTTGAGCCAAGGCACGAACAGCCTCGTTCATCAGAATCATCTGGGTAGATTGTGTTTGGTATGTTTAGCCTTTTGGGGAATATCTTTTTTAAAAGATCATCTTACTATGGCCATACCTTAACTCAAATTCCAGGCCTTGAAGTCGGGGTGCGATAGAAGGTATCTGAGAACAGGAAGGAGGTGCTGACACCGCTCAGACCGCTGTGTGTCTCTCTAATGATCTACCTTGTGGATAAGATTGTCCCCACATAAAAATTGTGTGTAACTAAAAATAGATAAACCACTGGTCTTAATAAATGTAATCATCTTTTAAAAATGCCACTGACTTTTGGAACTGTACCTGAATGCTTCAGTCCACTTTCATCTCTTCCTTCTTTAAATACCTTTGAAATTTATTTATTAAACTGGAAATAAATTACTATCTTGAATTTCTTCTGTTTGCTGTTTTTTAAGTGTCCGCTGTCAACGTGTAAGTGCCCGAAAGCAAGGCCATTGATACTTCGAATATCTTTTACGTCCTTACTCAATCCTAAGGAAGGGCTGCTAACAGCCCATGTGGTGGCTTTTCCTCTTGTCACATGTTAGCAAATATGCTCCATTCTTCTGTAAGCCACCTGCATGCCACCCACACAGCAATACACAGTATTCCTGAACAAGGGCAGTTCATGATATGCAATCAATGGTCAGTATACAGATTTCTTGGTTTTTGCTTAATGAAACAAATCCAGGTTTAAAGTCAGGACTTAGAAAAACCAACAAGTTTATCTTAAACAATGTAGAAAATAAAACGGTTACCAAAAGCATTTAACACATTTATATTAAAATTCCAATTATTGAGAAGAAATACGGTTATGGTTTTGAAAGCAGAATTAATAAAAGAAAAGCCAGTCTTCAAAGCTGAGAGACAGTATAAGGAAGAGAAATTATTTGAGAATATGTAAGAGACCTGTAGGCCAATTTGAATCTAGAAAAAGCTACCAATATGATATTTAACACTTGTACTCTGAGTGTAAAGAAGGCTTCAGGGGGTGAAATTGCCTGAGGCCAATGGTTAGGGTTTATTAGTAAGAAAGCAAGTTTATTTATTTTCCATTTTAATATAGCATCTTAAAAGTAATGAAAGTATAAAGCAGATAAAAATAGCACATCATCCTAACAGCATGTATTTGTGTATTCTTTCATTTCTCTTCATATCTCTTCCATGTGACATATTTTGTAGTTTTAAGTTAAAAGAGAAGCCATAATCTATAGTTGGAATCAAGAATTAGATTTCAGTCTGGATTTCAGGTGGCTCATGCCTGTAATCCCAGCACTTTGGGAAGCCGAGGCGGGCGGATCACCTGAGGCGAGGAGTTGGAGACCAGCCTGCCCGACATGGCAAAACCCTGTCTCTACTAAAAATACAAAAATCAGCCAGACGTGGTGGCGGGTGCCTGTAATCCTAGCTACTAGGGAGGCTGAGGCAGGAGAATTCCGTGAACCCAGGAGGCGGAGGCTGCAGTGAGCCGAGATCATGACATTGCATTCTGCTCTGGGTGACGGAGTGAGACCCTGTCTAAAAAAACCAAAAAGCATTAGATTTTAGTTCTAAAGGTAAAATTATGAGCATTGAGTGGAATCCTGTCCCTCTCATTTAATCATGGCTGAAGTAAGTGTTTACACTATTGCTAGAAATGGGGCATCTGGCAAGGGCAAAGAAAGAAAACTGAGAGGTGTGGAGAAGTCTACCCCACACTTAGCTGAAATTAACAACCACTTTTGAAGTGAAACAAATGCCAAAATATCACCCACCTGGCACATAGAAGGCTCTCAATAAATATCATTTGATCTGAATATTGTGACACAACACTTAGGAAAAAATATGAAAAATATACATTGCCTAGAAGAAACTTTGATTGTCCAAAAGCACTTTTAAACAATAAATGAAAGTCAGTGGTCTCTTATGAATTTAATATTGTATATACTGTGCATATTATATACCTAGCACCATTAAATACAGAGTATTTATAATGTTTAATACATACAAAATAAAGAATGGATTAACCTATAATTCCATGGAATCTCTAAGACAGCAAGTGGAAAATTCCAAAACAGTAACTCCCCTTCCAGTCAAGCAGATTCCTAGTCGGGTACATACAAACGTTTTACAAAGACCAACTCTAGAGATCCAAGTGTCTGCCTGTTTTAGCTCCATAGTCATTGTTTTGTTGATGACTAAAACAAGAGGGATTAACTTTGAATAACTGTCCTGGCCAGACCTCATGCTTGGAAAACAGTACTCTATTGAGTTTTATGGGTTCCTCTGTTTTTTGGCAACAATGCAATCTGGGTTAAATATTTTTGCAATGATACTTAAAAATAACAATAAGGCTGATTTTTTTAAAAACCTGATCCTTCTTTCTGATACCTCACATGTTTCATTGATCCGATCCAGTTTCTCATTGAACGTACAGGATAACATCATGAGTTATTTAGATGCGGAATCTACGGGAAAGGAAGCGCTAGGAGCCACCTTACCAAGTCTGGTCAGAGCAGCAAGCATTCTCCTCCTTCTCTCCCCCACACTTCCCATCCAAGATTATCTCTATCATCTTGTGACTAAAGGAGAAAATAACTCCCCAGCTGTCAGTGGCTTTCTCAGCTGCCAACATGAGAACTCGAACACACAGGGGGAAATTCCTGAATTAAGGAAATGTGTCAGCATGCACACTTTGATTACACCATGTGGGCTTTGGGGTAGGCATCCTATCAGGGCTCCCAGAAGAATGTCTGAATTATGGAATCTCAAAAGGTTGAACTGGGAAGCCGAGAATAGAATGGTGGCTGCCAGGGCTAGAGTAGGGCATGGAGAGATGTTGAAGGGTACAAAGTTTCAGTTAGACAGGAGGAACAAGTTCTGGAGATCTACTGTGTAGCATGGTGATCACAGTTAATAATAAACTATTATGTACTTGCGAATTTCTAAGAGGGTAGGTCTTCAATGTCCCCACAACAAAACATAAGCATGTGAGGTACGGGTATGTTCACTAGCTTGATGTCGTCATTTCACAATGTATACGTACACAGAAACATCGCATTGTACACCTTGTAAATACACAGACAGTCCTGACTTAGGAGGTTTGACTTCACCGTGAGTTTATCTGGTATTATCTAGGGTATTAAATGCATTTTCCGGACAGGCACGGTGGCTTATGCCTGTAATCCCAGCACTTTGGGAGGCCAAGGCAGGTGGATTACGAGGTCAGGAGTTCAAGACCAGCCTGGCCAACATGGTGAAACCCCATCTCTACTAAAAATACAAAAATTAGCTGGGCATAATGGCACATGCCTATAATCTCAAATACTTGGGAGGCTGAGGCAGGAGAATGGCTTGAACCGGGACCCGGGAAGCAGAGGTTGCAGTGAGCCAAGATCGCGCCACTGTACTCCAGTCTGGGCTACACAGCAAGACTCCGTCTCAATAAATAGTAAATAAATAAATAAATGCATTTTCCATTTACAATATTTTCAACTTGACAATGGGTTTATTGGGACATAGCCCCACTGTACATCAAGGAGCATTTGTATACAATATTTATTTGTCACCTATATCTTAATTAGCTCCTGTCATTCTGCCCTTCCTTCCTTTTTTTTTTTTTTTTTTTGAGATGGGGTCTCATGCTGTTTGCCCTGGCTACAGTGCAGTGGTGGAATCATAACTCACAGCAGTCTCAAACTCCCGGGCTCAAGCGATCCTCTTACTGCAGCCTCCCAAGTAGCTACGACTACTGGCATGAGTATGATAATTTTTTAATTTTTAATGTTTATAGTGACGAGGTCTCACTCTGTTGCTCAGACTGGTCTCAAACTCCTGGCCTCCAGCGATCTGGCTGCTTCAGCCTCCCAAAGTGTTGGAATTACAGGCATGAGCCACCATGCCCAGCCACTCCTGTCCTTTTGAATAAGATGTCGTATGGTACTAGACCAGAAGCAGCTGGGTTTTCTATGCTTTAGAGGGAGCATATGTTCACTCATACCATTTCAGAAGTTCTATGGGCCCCGTCAAATCTGTGAATAGTGAGTGGAGTGGTGGTGTGAAGAAGGGAGCTGAGGCCCTCCTTGGTGTTGGCTCCTTCCCCAGCCTTCTACTTTCCAGGGATCCGTAAGAGCTGGAGGCACGGCGACAGAGATGAGAGAGGTGAGGATCCCCGTAAATCTCCACGTGCATGCTGGGAGGCCCAGGAGCGGGCAGCAGGAAAGGCAGGATGCCCTATGTGGCCGGTGAGGACAGACAGAACCAGGGCCACCCACAGTGCTGGGGTAGTGAGCATGGCTGGCTGGGCTGTGGGCATCACTGGCCCGGGGAAGCAGGGTCTGGCTGGAACAAAATCTTTCCAGTCGACCATCCATGACCACATGGTGGGTCTCACTGAAAGCAATCTTGAATTGAAATTCAAAGAGTCTAGCAAGGCTACCTTTTTAAATTCACCTTTTAAGAATAATAAAACCATTAATGGGTGAAATTCTGCATTTTTGAAATTTCAATAGCCACCTAACTGCAATTCTGGGAGGCAGAGAGAGACTCTTTATTTAACAATAAACAAATAAACAAAGCAGGCTGGGCGTAGTGGCTCATGCCTGTAATCCTAGCACTGTGGGAGGCGGAGGCGGGCAGATCACTTGAGGTCCAGAGTTCGAAATCAGCCTGGCCAACATGGTGAAACCCCATCTCTACTAAAAATATATATCGAAAAATTAGCTGGGCTTGGTGGCATATGCCTGTAATCCCAGGTATCATTTCCGTGATTACGTCTAACCAGAACCTGAATAGAACTTTCTAAGAATGGCAACATCATAAGCCTTTTATTTATTGTGATATGATTTCAAATATCCATTGAGAGATTTTTGCCCCACCCCCACCCCTATCCTCCAAAAACAGAGAACTGGTTGCAAATTGGAGCAAATGCTGCCATAGATTTGCACTTTCCAGGATTCTTCAAAACATGAGTAAGAGCTCCATGGCCTCCCACAGTGGCCCAAAATAGACAATTTTCCATGGTCCACTGGAAAATTGGCATTTATCATGGGGGAACCTTAGCCATTATGTAAGAGTACATTCTGTAGACAGTTTTTCAACTCTCCACATACGATCCAGCCCTACTGCCTAAAGTCCCAGAGCTGATCTTTTCCCTGGTTTCTGGGGCAGTGATGAACAGCCTGCATTCTGGAATGGGGCTTGATCTTGGCTGACTCATGGTAGCACTTGCTCTGTGTATTTTAAGACAGGCAGTCAGTACAGTTCAATCACTTTTCAGTTCCTGGCTTTGGAAGTAAGCAGATAGCAAATTTTATTTCTCACGTTGGTTCACATCTATCGTGTTCAAACATGGTCAGCAAACTGAGAGCAGCAAGGGCTAAAAGAACTTTCTGTGATGATAGAGGTGTTCTTTTCCCTCTGTCTCCCCACTTTATCCCTCAGTCTCCCCATTTTATCCCTCATAGAAGAAGCCTCCTCTACTTCTTTGTGAGGACACAAAAAACTAAAACAGCAGGGCCGTCCACGGTAGCTCAAGCCTGTAATCCCAGCACTCTGGGAGGCTGAGGTGGGTGGATGGCTTTATGTTAGCAGTTTGAGATCAACCTGTGAAACATGGTGAGACCCCATCTCTACAAAAAGTACAAAAATTAGCTGAGTGTGGTGACACACACCTGTAGTCCCAGCTACTTGGGAGGCTGAGGGAGGAGGATTGCTTGAGCCTGGGAGGTTGAGGTTGCAGCAAGCTATGATTGCATCACTCCATTCCAGCCTGGCGACAGAGCCAGACCCTGCCTCAATAAATAAATAAATAATATGAAGCAAAATAAAATAGCAATTGGACAGGGACAGAACAGCAGTAAACAGATTTCTAGCAACAAGTGCTTTACAGTTGATCTGTTCAACATGGCAGCTACCAGACATGTTGCTATTTTAATTACATTTTAAATCAGTTCAATTAGTGAATTGAGTAAAATAAAATAAATTATTTAGCTCCTCACTAGCCGCATTCCAAGTGCTCAATGGACACATGTGACGAGTGGCTTCTGTTCTGGGTACCACGGCAATGAGCTGATCAATAGGTTGTAGGAGAAGGAGTTGAGAGGAGAAAAGGGTTCTGCCACTCAATCCATCTTCCAGACTTCTTCAGCCTCCTCATCACCGTCATCTCATGCTTCAAAGATTAAAAAAAAAAAAAAAAAAAAAAAAAAAACAGGCCTGGGCCAGGTGCAGTGGCTTACGCCTATAATCCCAGCGCTTTGGGAAACCAAAGAGGGCAGATCACTTGAGCCTAGGATTCGAGACTAGCATGGGCAATACGGCGAAACCTCTTTCTACAAAAAAAAAAAAAAAAAATTAGCTGGGAGTGGTGGCACAGGGCTGTAGTCCCAGCTACCTGGGAGGCTGAGGTGGGAGAAGCCCTCGAGTCTGGGAGCTCGAGGCTACAGTGAGCCATGTTCATGCCACTGCCCTGTGACAGGGCAAAATTCTGTCTCAAACAACAACAAAAGGCCCACAGGCCTCTAGTCTAAAGGCATCAGGATGGCTTCTTGTTTATTAATAATTTTATATAAGGAAGCCAAACACTTTGCAACTATCGTTAAGGTTCAGGTTTTCTTAAAGTGTTATTTCAAAGCAGGCTTTATTAAAGCATAATTGTCATAAAATAAACTATACATATTTAAATTAGATAATTTAAGTGTTGACATCTGTATATGCCTAGGAAACCATCACCAGCATCATGATAATGAATACATCCACTGTCCCCAAAAGTGACGTCGAGCATCCTTGCAATCCTGTTCCCATGCTCTTTGTGGCCCCTCTCCCATCCCCAGGCACCCACTGATGTGCTTTCTGTCATTATAGATTTGTTTTCACATTCTCAGATTTTATATAAGGGGAAGCATACTGTTTGTATTCATATTTTGGCTGACTTCTTTCAGTCAACATTGTTATTTCGAGATTTATCCATATTCATTATTTTAAGTTGCTGATAGTATTCCATTTTACAGCTGTGTCTCATTGTTTATTCATCCACATGTGGATGGCACCTTGTTCCGGTCTGGAGCACTACGAATAAGGCTGCTATCAACATTGCGTACAAGTATTTGGACGTATGCTTTTCTTTCATTCAAGTAAATACCTAAGGCGTGGAATAACTGGGTCATATGGTAGCTGCTTTTTTTTTTTTTTTTTCCGAGACAGAGTCTTGCACTGTTGCCCAGGCTGGAGTCCAGTGGCACCATCCTGGCTCACTGTAACCTCCACCTCCCAGGTTCAAGCAATTCTCCTGCCTCAGCCTCCCAAGTGACTGGAGCTACATGCACGTGCCCCCAAACCTGGCTAATTTTTGTATCTTTAGTAGAGAAGAGGTTTTGCCATGTTGGCTAGGCTGTTCTCGAACTCCTGACCTCAGGTAATCTGCCCACCTTGGCCTCCCAAACTTCTGGGATTACAGTCATAAACCACCATGCCCATTTTTCTTACCAAAGTGATCAAAGTGATTGGTTATGGATTTTTGAAATAGGTGAAATAAATAACATTGTCTTACCTTATGATGAGGTCTGAACATCAGAAGAGATGGATGAGAGGGAGCTCTTTACAGAACTGAACACAATGCCCTTTGAATCTTAGATTCCCCTGTGGTTATCTGAGTAATCTACTCTTTTTATATTTTGTATATGAAGCCCTATTAGAGAATTCATAAAGCACAGAGATGGTTTTATCTATAGGAGGAAATTTTTTTTTTTGAGACAGAGTTTTGCTCTTGTTGCCCAGGCTGGAGTGCAGCGGTGCAATCTCAGCTCACTGCAACCTCCACCTCCTGGGTTCAAGTAATTCTCCTGCCTCAGCCTCCTGAGTAGCTGGGATTACAGGCACCCCCCCACCACACCCAGCTAATTATTTGTATTTTTAGTAGAGACAGGGTGTCACCACGTTGGCCAGGCTGGTCTTGAACTCCTGACCTAGGTGATACGCCCGTTTCAGCCTCCCAAAATGCTGGGATTATAGGCATGAGCCGCTGCGCCTGGCCAGGAGGAAATTTTTTAAAACATTAACTTGTGTTTTAAAAATTCAAAATTAACATGCTTTTGACAAAATTTAGATAGCACATAAAGAAGAATAGAAGATGAAATGTAAGAGTTTTCAATCCCCAGCTACTGCAAATACTTCTCATGGTGACACTGTACACAATCATGACTCTGTGTGTGTGTGTGTGTGTGTGTGTGTGTGTCTTAAAGATGCCAATGCATAAATTAAGCTCAAGTAAAGATGTACCACCTCTGCCATTAGGGGAATGTAAATTAAAGCCACAGTGAGACGCCACCCTTTAGAATGGCTGAAATGTAAAAAACAAAAAAAAACTGAAAATAGTAACTGTTGGAGAAGATGTGAAATTGCTAGAACCTACAAACACTGATGTTGAGAAAGCGAACTAATACAGCCTCTTTAGGAAGAAGTTTTTAAAATTTCTTGTAAGGTTCAACATACACTGAACATACCCGCTAATCCTGCCCCTCGATATTTACCCAAGTGGAACAGAACTGATGTTTACACAGAAACCTGTATACAAATGTTTACAGTGACTTTATCCAAAATGGCTGTAATTTGAAAATCACACAAGCTGCCCTCAACTGGGGAATAAATAAACTGTGGTATAAGATGAAATGCTACAGTGTGATTAAAATAAACGACCGATACAGCTAGTGAGAAGGATTAGCCTAAATATGGCCACTTGAAGAAGCCAGACTTGGTCGGGCATGGTGGCTTGCGCCTGTAATTCCAGCACTTTGGGAGGCTGAGGCAGGTGGATCATGAGGTCAAGAGATCGAGACCATCCTGGCCAACATGGTGAAATCTGGTCTCTACTAAAAATACAAAAATAAGCTGGGCGTTTGGCATGCACCTGTACTCCTAGCTACTCAGGAGGCTGAGGCGGAAGAATTGCTTAAACCCAGGATGCGGAGGTTGCAGTGAGCTGAGCTTGTGCCACTGCACTCCAGCCTGGTGACAGAGCAAGACTCCGTCTCAAAAAAAAAAAAAAAAAGCCAGACTTAAAAGGCTGTCTACTGTGCTCCATTTCTATGACATTCTGGAGAACATAAACTACAGTCATGGTTGGCAAAACATTTCTGTCAAAGACAGACCCCATACATGATGATGGTCCGTGAGATTATAATGGAGCTGAAAAATTACTATTAACTTTGTAGCAACTGTAATTTAGCACAACAGCATGATTCGGGTATGAACAAACCTAGTCCTCAAGAAGAGCTTCAGGCAGGTCCTTCTAGAGGGATTCCAGAAGAAGGCATTGTTTTCACAGGGGATGACAGCTCCACACGTTTGTTTGTTGTTTGTTTGTTTGTTTTTGTCCTGAAGACCTTCTAGTCGGACAAGCGAACGTGGAAGACAGTGATACTGATGACCCTGACCCTGTGTAGGACTAGCCTTATGTGTGTGTGTTTCTATCTTAGTTTCTAAAAATAAAGTTTAAAAAGTGAAAATGGCTGGGAATGGTGGCTCATGCCTGTAATCCCAGCACTTTGGGAAGCCGAGGTGGGTGGATCACCTGAGGTCAGGAGATGGAGACCATCCTGGTGAACGTGGTGAAATCCCATCTCTACTAAAAATACAAAAACTAGCTGGGTGTGGTGGTACGCACCTGTAATTCCAGCTACCCCAGCTACTCGGAGGCTGAGACAGGAGAATTGCTGGAACCCGGGAGGCGGAGGTCACAGTGAGCCAAGATTGCGCCACTGCGCTCCAGCTCGGGCAACGGAAGCGAAACTCCATTACAAAAAAAAAAAAAAAGGTAAAAGAAAAAAATTATTTTATTTGTTATTGATACATAATGTTTGCAAAATAAATTTTTAATAGAAAAAAGCTTATAATTTTATTTATTTTTAGATGGGGTTTCACTCTGTCACTTAGGATGGATTGCAGCCTCCACCTCTGGGCTTAAGCGATCTTGTCACCACAGCCTCCCCACCTCAAGGCTCCTGAGTAACTGGGACTACAGGCATGGGCCACCACACCCAGCTAATTTTAAAGTTTTTGTAGAAACAGAGTTTTGCCACGTCACAAAGGCTCCACTGCCTTGGCCTCATAAAGTGGTCCCCCATGCAGCTCCCACCCCCTGCTGTGCCCACCACCTCACCCCAGCCTGAAAGTCCCCACAACCACCTCACTGTAATGCAGCTGTTGGGGAGGATGAGAAAAAAGAAATGTTAAAAAGAACTAAATAGCATTTCAGAGTTGTACTAGCTAAATAAAAAATTCACTGAAGGAACTCAACAGCAGATTTGAGCAAGCAGCAAATTTGAAGGTAGGTCAAATGAGATTATACAGTGAGAAAGAAAAAGAATAAGAATGAATAAAAATAAAGATTCTCAGAGACCTGTGGGATACCTTGAAGTGAACTGACATACATATAGTATGAGGTTCAGAAAGAAAGGAGAAAGAGGAAAACAGAATATCTGAAGAAATAATGGGTGAAAACCTCCCAAATTTAAGGAAAAACATCAACTACACATGGTCGAAGCTCCACATAGATAGACTCAAAGAGATCTAAACCTAGACACATTACAATTAAACCAGCTAAAACAAAAGACAAAGAATTTTGGAAGCAGCACGAAAGAATGACTCATCCCACACAAGGGATCCTCAACGAGATTTCACATCAGAAAACAGCTGATTTCTCATCAGAAAACATGAAGGCCAGGAGGCAATGAGATGATACATTGAAAGTGGTGAAAGAAAGACAGTCAACCAAGAATTCCATGTCTTTCAAAAATGAAAGAAAAATAGAACATTCCCAGGTAAATGAAAGCTAAGGGAGTTCATCACTGGTAGACCTGCCCTACAAGAGATGCTAAAAGGATTCCTTCAGTCTGATATGAAAGGACACCACACAGTAAGTGATTCAAATCCGCATGAAGAAATAAAGATCTCCAAGAAGGGTAATTGCACAGGTAAATTTTTAGTTTTTTTTTAAAAAAAACTCTTTTTTTAAAAAATTCAAAATACAACTGTGTAAAGCAATAATGATAAATTTGTGTGTGCTGACGGATCTATAATATATAGAGATGGGCTGTTGTAAAACAGCACAAAGAAGGCATGGATCTATATAGGAGCAAAACTTGTGTAGGCTATTGAAATTAAGTTGGTATTAAACCCAACTAGATTTGGATAAATTGAGAGGTTAATAGTAAGTCCTAGAGTAAGTACTAAGAAAATAACTAAAAAATATATAGTGAAGGGGAATTAAAATGCAAGACAAAAATATCTATTTAATGCAAAAGAAGTCAGCAATGGATGAATAGAGGACTAAAAAAGCACATAAAATGTGTAGCTACAAAGACAAATTAACAGACATAAATTCCATAGTATCAATAGTTACATTAAACATATATGGATTAAACACTCCAATCAAACGCAGATACTGGCAACATGGATTTTTTTAAATGATCCAACTATATGCTTTCTTTTACAACAGGATCTAAATAAACAAATAGTTTGAAAATAAAAGGAGGGAGAAGAAATACTGTGCAGACAGTAACTAGCTGTTTATAGCATAGCATAATATATGTGTATGTATATAGGTGTATATTTATGTATATGTACATGCACATGCACATGTTATGTACAGCATAAGGTACTGCATATATATACATATAATATGTATACATTTGTGTATAGCATAGCATAATATGTTATGCATAACATAGTGTGAATAGTATAGCAGCTGTCATGACTGAACTAATAATAGACAAAGTAGATTTAAGGTAAAAATGGCTACTAAAGAAAAAGGACGGTACTTCCTAATGATGAAAGTGTCAATTATCGAGCAGATATAACAGTTATAAACGTACTACACCTAGCAACAGACTCCCAAAGTATATGAGGCAAAATCTTACAGAATGAAAGGGAGAAAGATAATTCAACAAAGAGTGGTTGGAGAATTCAACACTCCACTTTCAATCTTGAAGAGAACAACTGCAAGGAAACAGAAAGGGAACAGAAGACTTGAACAGTGGCTGGGTGCAGTGGCTCACGTCTGTAAGCCAACACTTTGGGAGGCCTAGGAAGGAGAAGTTCTTCCTAGGACTTCTATGTGAAGGGAAGAGAAGGAAGAAAATAATGTGGAGCAGAAATAAATTAAATAAAGAAGCAGACGAAGACATCACCCACAATAAAGAGAACTACAGACCATCGTACCCAACCAATAAGAGCAAACTGAATCCACCAACATGTATAACCATGAGTTATTTATCCCAGTTATATAAACTTGGTTAAACATAAGAAAAATCATCTAATAGACCAACATGAACAGAACAAAGGGCAAAAAGAACACGATCATCTCCATAAATGCAGAAAAAGCATTTGATAAATCCAACTGCCTTTAATGATTTTAGAAAAACAGTTTAAGAACTAGAAATAGAAGGAAACATCCTCACCTTATAAGAATCACAGCTGGCATCATACATAATGGTGAAAGACTAAAAGCTTTCTCCCTAAGATCAGGAGAAAAAAAAAGATGTCAGTGTCCACTATTTCCGTTCAATGTATTGAAGATTATAACTAGGATGATTAGGCAAGAAAAAAATGACATCTAGATAAAAAAAGAATTAAACCTATATCTATTTGCAGATGACGTGATGTTATACATAAAAAAAAATCCTAGGAATATACAGAAAAAATGATTAGAGTTAATGCATTTTAGCAAGGTTGAAGGATACAGTATTAACATATAAAAATTTTATTTCTATTTTATTTCTAGCAATGGAAAATCTGGAAATAAAATTAAGAAAATAATTCAATTCAAACAGCATCAAAAATCAAACACTTAGGAGTAAATTCAACAAAAACTTTTTTCAACAATTCACTGACATGCTTGCATTTAAAAGATGGTGAAGCTTCAAAATAATAAAAAGTGTATTTCAATATTTTTCTTTTTCTGATTAAAAAATAACATTAGGGCCAGGCGCAGAGGCTCACGCCTGTAATCCCAGCACTTTGGAAGGCCAAGGTGGGTGGATCATGAGGTGAGGAGTTCAAGACCAGCCTGACCAATATGGTGCAACCCTGTCTCTAGTAAAAATACAAAAATTAGCTGGGTGTGGTGGTGCACACCTGTAGTCCTAGCTATGCAGGAGGCTGAGGTGGGAGAATTGCTTGAATCCAGAAGGAGGAGGTTGCAGTGAGCCAAGATCATGCCACTGCCCTCCAGCCTGGGCAACAGAGCGAGACTCTGCCTCAAAAAAAGTTTTTTTTCAAAACTTTTTTCAACGATTCACTAACATACTTGCATTTAAAAGATGGTGAAGCTTCAAAATAATAAAAGGTGTATTTCAACATTTTTCTTTTTCTGATTAAAAAATAACATGTATTTTTTTTTTATAAGAAATCATCATTATTTATAATAATAAAAAAGAATTATGGAGTACCCAATTATTCTAAGTGGAGGGCATGGCACTTGCCTAAACCATGCTAAAGTAACCCTTGTTGGTGCCCTGATGGTGGAAGATGGCAGAGGATGGAGTGGAAACCCTGAATGCTGAGGCTGAAGAGACCTAAGAGCTGGCGGCCACACCCCAATCACACCCCGGTCATTGCAGGCTGAGGAACCTCCAATGATTGCAGCTACAACTTTCCTCCCGTCTCCCTGCTCCACACACCCTACTGAGCCACCCCAATCCCACACCCCCACCTACATTTCACTCTTATGATTTCTAAGGGGTTTGTGTTGCCAGCAGCCCTGGAAGTCACCAGATCTGAGAGGCACAAGAGGAAGGGTGTTGAGGGAAGCTTTGTCTCAGTCTTGAAGGGCAAATTGTTTGAGAGAGAAAAATGAGACTGGAGAAACATAAGGGAGATTACATTCACTGAAGTCCACCTGGAGAATAGTACATTCTCTTCCCAACAAAACGCACATGCTAGGGACTCCATTTTACTATGTATTGTCATAATTCTAGGGGATGGGTGTTACTATCATTTTTATTTACAGATAAAGAAATTGAGTGGCTGGGTGCTGTGGCTCACACCTATAATCCCAGCACTTTGGGAGGCCAAGATGGGCGGATCTGAGGTCAGGAGTTCAAGACCAGCCCGGCCAACATGGTGAAATTCCATCTCTACTAAAAATACAAAAATTAGTTGGGTGTGGTGGCTCGAACCTGTAATCCCAGCTGCCTGTCTTTCAGTAGAGATCGTAGAGGAGGCTGAGGCTGGAGAATCACTTGAGCCTGGGAGGTGGAGGTGTGGTGAGCTGAGATTGCGCCACTGCACTCCAGTCTGGGTGACAGAGTGAGATCCTGTCAAAAAAAAAAAAAAAAAAAAGAGAGAAAAAATTGAGATGCAAAGGGGTAAATAGCTGAGTCAAAATTTTTCTCAGTCTTCTGAACATAAAGCTATCACTTTACCTTCTGCTGAAGATTGTTTAGAGAAGACAAAATGAAGAAGAGAAGAGGCTTCATTTAATTAAAATCACCAGCCTCCCTGCCTTTCTCTCTCTCAGGTAGGCAGAGATGACATCTACGTAAATCAGGGCCCTTCACCTTTCTCATTCCTCTTGCAGGTTCCTGAGATCATGAGCTCTTTAGGGAAAGGTCATATCTCAGTCCCTTTTGTATCCCTAAGATCTAACCTAGTGCCTCACATCCAGCAGAGATAGGGAAAAAAGCTTATAAAGCTTATGGGGAGAAGCCCATTCCCACATGATCTCTATTGAAAGCTATGCAGGCTGGGGGTGCGGTGGCTCACGCCTGTAATCCCAGCACTTTAAGAGGCCAAGGTGGGCAGATTGCTTGAGCTCAGGAATTCAAGAGTAGCCTGGGCAACATGATGAAACTCCATGTCTACAAAAAGTACAGAAATTACTCAGGTGTGGTGGCCCGCACCTGTAGTCCCAGCTACTCGGGAGGCTGAGATAGGAGGATTGCTTTGCTTGAGCCCAGGAGGTTGAGGCTGAAGACGTTGCAATGAGCTGAGATCATACACTCCAACCTGGGTGACAGAGCGAGACCCTGTCCCCCCAGACAAACAAAAAACAAAACAAAAACCCCACAAAAATCTGTGCCTTGATTCTTTGTAACATAAATAGGATGTGTTGTGTGTTCTTTAAGATGCCTGCTGACCCTAACCTTCTGCACTGACAGGAAAGCTTACAGTTGTTTCCATAGACAACTTCAACAATCTACTGGACTACTTAATTCGTATCATCAGCAGCACTTGCCAGCGCTTACAGAGCTTAGATTTGAGATGCATAATTAGCCACTTTAGAGGAATCTCACGTGCTCACAATGAATTAAGGAACGCATATGGAAAATACACCTGGACCTTACTGGCAAATAATCAATGGGAACTGGGGAATTAGCTTATAGAAAATGCAATGACTTATTAAAATTTGGTGGAAGGCAGCCCGGAGACCTACTAACAAGTATATCATAAGTAACTTTTCCCTAGGAAGGAGATCCTTTATATGTTAAGAAGATTGTGTTTGCTTATGAAGGTGTGAAAATGTTAATTTTCAGAATCCAAAGAATATACAGGCTTCTCTTCAGGAGGATATTGTGCCAAGGTAAAATGAGAACCATAATAACGATATGTTTGTATGTACACACAGGAGAATTTTTAAAAATCCAATTAATTCTTAATTTAATATGTTGTCTTAGTAACTACCCTTTCAAGATGCTCAGTGCTTACAACATAACTCATAGCTTTACCAAGGCAGGAGAAAAATAGAAAAAGACAGAACCTTAAAATACCTTTGCCAATTAAATCCTGAATTATTCTTGACTCTGAGAATAGTCAGTCATTTTATTTCAGCTGCAAAGGATGATAAAGAACACACTGAATCTTCATGCTTCCACTTACATTTTCATTACTTCATAACCTTGAATGTGTTTTGGGGTTTCATCCAATATCTTTTACCTCCAAATCCAAGATGTTAAAAATAGGTATAAAGACCAGCAGCTTAATATTGGATCTTTACCTTAAGGGCTAAAGCCAAAATAATGGAGTTCATGACCTGAGTCACCAAATTCCCATAATCCCAGGGCAATTTCAAGAAATCCATAAAACGTGAAAAGTAAGTGATGAGACGGAGCTACAAACCACACACCAAAACCAGCTCATGCTTTCTTATTAACTCTTTGTAATGAAAGGTCATTGTTGAAGGTCAAAATGCCTGGATAGATTCATGGCAAGCCTCAAACGTTTACTTAAAATTCCAGAAACCACCCTTTAATAGGCCTCTTCGATGATAGGTTCTTACGGCAGGTCCTGTTCATTGGCTACTAAAAAGCTATTCCCAGCCTCCTTTCCCTTGCTGCCCCCATTCTTGAGGCTCAATAGCCAAACATTTAGCTTTATATAGCTTTTCATCTAGCCAGGGAAAATGCGATGATGGCACTGAGTCCATGACATATAAGCAGAATTCTGCTGGGGCATGTCTAGGTCAACCTGCTGTCCCCAGAGCCAGGGTTAGATGTGCCTACAAGAGTCTTCCTTCGTTTCCTCTTATTCCTACTTTGAATGCAAACATGACATCTGGAAGTTTCACATTATTTGGCCATCATGAAGCTGCAAACATAAAGGAAAGGCCAAGAAACTTTCAGAGACCCATGCCACTGCACTAATAAATGCCAGCAGCCACCTGCCTCCATGTTCTTAATAGGACAAAAATAAACCCTTGTTTGTTTAGAACGCTATCAGTTGGATTTTGTATTCCTTGCAGCCAAAAGCATTGCTAGTTGATAGGGTGTTTTACATACATCATTGATCATTCCGAGAACACTCTGAAAGGTAGCCATTATCATCCCTATTTTATAAGTGAAGACAGAGAGGCACAAAGAATTTAAGTTACTTGTCCAAGACTGCACATGGACCTCAATCACTTCACTAGTATTTCCCAGTTTTTATTATTTTATTTATCTATTTATTTTGAGACTAAGTCTTACTCTGTCGCCCCAGCTGGAGTGCAGTGGCGTGATCTCAGCTCACTGAAGCCTCCACTTCTTGGGTTCAAGCAATTCTCCTGCCTCAGCCTCCCAAGTAGCTGGGACCACAGGCATGTACCACCATGCCCAGCTAATTTTTGTATTTTTAGTAGAGAAAGGGTTTCACTATGTTGGCCAGGCTGGTTTTGAACTCCCGACCTCAAGGGATCCACCTGCCTCAGCCTCCGGAAGTGCTGGGATTACAGGCGTGAACCACTGCACCGAGCTCTATTTCCCAGTTTTTAAATGGGGTTTAATTTACCAGCTAACCAGTAAGGCTGCATGCACTTACTGCACTCTCTTACTTCCTCTGTGTGGCAGGCACACGTGTGTGTGTGTGTGTGTGTGTGTGTGTGTTCGTGTTCTAGTGTTCCTACCAGGGAATTTAGCTTCTAGTCCAGTTCTACTACAACTTGCCTTCAGGGTGTGCCATCTACTCCATTTCCTCTTCTGCGAAATGATGGACCGGATTAAAGTTGAAAAATCTCTTCCAGCTCTCACGTTTTGTGATGCCATCATTTTCTCACAAGATTGTGAGCTTCACAACACTAAGTAGGGATTGTAGGTTTTTGGGGGTTTTTCCAAGCTTCAATTACTCTGCCCATGGCAGATATGCAGTAATTCCATTAAGCCTGTGCTGAGGTTTGAATGTCCCCCTAAAAGCATGTGTTGGAAGCTTCATCTCCAATGCAATAGTGTTGGGAGGTGGGGCCTACCATTGCTTTTGTGTTTTTCAGTTCAGTGACTGTGGTTCCCACTGTATGTATAGTACGGCCAATAGAGAAGAGCAGCCACAGAGCTCTTCAGGGATTCAGGGGCTCTCCTTACAAATCTGTTTCTCAAGGCATGGGTGAAAGGTATGTCTTCTGGGCCCTCCTAGTGTGGGTGAGGTTTCACGTGGCAAATTCACTCTAGCATTCTCAAGCCCTGAATCCCTTCCTCTGCAGTAAGCCACAGGACACCAGCCATTTCTAACTTGCTGTTGATGGGACGTCTTTTGATCCATGTTTCAGCCAAACTGTTAGCACCTTTCTAACCCCTGAGCTGCAACATTACACGCAGAATCTCTGCCCATTTCAATACGTTTCAGCCTGACCCAACTGTGGGTTCCCTTCACCATTATCCCACACCCTTCATATCCATTCTCACACATGTTCCAGATATTTCTGCTTTATAGACTGGAAAACTCAAGTAGCTCTTTTAGGGTATAGCACACCTCCTCATGACTCACACTTGGTATCTTGCCTGTAGGATCCTGATGGGACTTGAGTCTAGTTATAGTTCTAGAAGCAAAAAAGGGTGGTGGGGTTGGGTCCTGAGGAGAATCGGGATTATCTTGTATGGCTGCTGCCTCATGGGAAGGCACTACTGTCTCCAGTTAATCCCCTCCGACAGAGCAGAAAGGTTGATACCACTGTGGGTGGGGACATCGCTGCCTCTGAGGGTGGGAGTGGAAATGGGGAGGTCACTTCTGGCCAGTGAGACTCATCAGGTTCATCAGGGTCTTCCTACACGTTTTCATCACAAGTTGCAGAATTCCACTGTTTCCTAACCAATGTCCTCACTTTAATACTAGTCCGTGAGGCTGAGAGTTCAGCTTTCCTTCAATTCAGCCAGTCATGTGATGACAGTTTGTGTTTGCTTTTTGGCAATTTCAGACCTGTAGTTACAGGAGAGATGACTCTGACTGAGGACACACCTAGAAACTCCCAAGTCGCTTATGTGGAGTGGGAACCAGGAAATCCCATCTGGAGCTCAACCATTTCCTTCATCACTCTATCCAGCGACACCAGGAGCAACCAACAAACATCATTATATTCCTTGGTTTTCCACAAATGTTTGAGAATATTATGTATAGAGTCATTAAATTCTTTCCTCTTATAAGTAGCAAATTACAAATATCAAATGCATTTGTTTTGCTGTCTCTAAAACAGTTCACGCCAAGGGCTATCAGTGGCCTCTGTACTACTAGAAGTAGAGTTCCTAGCATTGTTAGGTCTAATCAATTAAAGAAGCACTTTCAGAAACCCCAAAACCAATTAAGGAAACTTATCCTTAAAATTCTATTCCTCGGCCGGGCACAGCAGCCCACACCTGTAATCCCAGCACTCTGGGAGGCCAAGGCAGGAGGATCACCAGAGGTCGGGAGTTCGAGACCAGGCTTACCAACATGGAGAAACCCCGTCTCTACTAAAAATACAAAATTAGCCAGGTGTGGTGGCATATGCCTGTAATCCTAGCAACTCAGGAGGCTGAGGCAGGAGAATAGCTTGAATCCAGGAGGTGGAGGTTGCGGTGAGCCGAGATTGTGCCACTGCACTCCAGCCTGGGCAACAAGAGCAAAACTCCATTTCAAAAAAAAAAAAAAAATCTGTTCCTTTAGTATCATTTCTGGTAACAAAATCTATATTACTAATGGTCTTTCCAGGAGATGGAACCAGAAGGAGATAAATAGATGGATGGATATATATCAAGATGAAAGAGAGAGAGAGAGAGAGAGAGAGAGAGAGATGAGAGGAGATTTATTAGGGGATTGGCTCATGTGACCGGAGACTGAGAAATCCAACAGGCTGTGTGTTATTTGATATACCTACTATAAATGCTATTTAGATAGTACGTAAATAAAGGGGGTATAAGGGTAGCAGAAGACCCCAGAGGAGAATGTTGCAAGGTGCCAGGGACAAGATGATGAGCATCTAAACTATAGCATGGTAATGGGGAATTAAAGGGATAGACAATTGCAAGTAGTGTCCAGCACGTGGAAAGATAATATTTGACAACTGATTAAATGCATGGGGACAGTAAGCAAAAGCACAACACCTGGGAGCCAAGCACAAGGAGGAAGTTTTGTGGAGTCAGAGGATGTGTTTTGTTTTTGAGGGGTTGAACTTAGAATGCCATGCCATATCAGAGAACAGGCTGTCCAGTAGAATGTCAGACAAATAGGGGTTGGTGCTTAGAGGATAGAAAGTCATCAGCACTTAGGACAGTGGTTCTCAATCCTTTGAAAACCAGCGTCTCCTTTTAAAATAAATACTTAATATTACTTCTGAAATGTATAGGTAATATGCAGTCATACCTCATTTTATTGCATTTCGCTTTATTGTGCTTTGGAGATACTGCACTTTTTTTTTGAGGTGGATTCTCGCTTTGTCACTGGGCTGGGGTGCAGCAGCACCATCTCAGCTCACCATAACCTCTACCTTCTGGGTTCAAGCAATTCTCCTGTCTCAACCTTCCAAGTAGCTGGGACTATAGGCGCATGCCACCACGCCCAGCTAATTTTTGTATTTTTATTAGAGACGGGGTTTCACCATGTCGGCCAGGATGGTCTCGATCTCTTGACCTCAGGATCCACCCGCCTCATCCTCCCAAAGTGCTGAGATTACAGGTGTGAGCCACTGCACCTGGCCGATACTGCACTTTTTACAAATGGAAGGATTGTGGCAAAGATGCGCTGAGAAAGCTGATCAATGCTATTTTTCCAACAGCATGCACTCATTTCATTTCTCTGTGCCAGAATTTTTTCTAGCAACAAAGCATTATTAAAGTATATACATTGGTTTTTTTTAAACATAATACTATTACACAGTTAATACACTGCAGTATAGTGTAAACGAACTCTTGTATGCATTGGAAAAGAAAAATATTTGTGTGACTCTGGCTTTATTGCAATATTCCTTTTATTGTGATATCTTTATTACAAAGTCTGGAACTGAGCCTGTAATGTCTTCGAGGTATGCCTATACACATATAAATTCTTTAAGAATTCCAATAATACCATGTAAAGGAGAAATAAACATAGAGCAATTTATTCTTTAAAATAAAAATTTAATATTTACATATTGAGGCATGACTACACTTACAGTTCATAAATATAGATTATATATGTGTGCAAGGTTAATCCCTACAGAATTCATTCATTCTTTCATTCATTTAACAACTGTTCATTGAGTCCCTTCTAAGTTACAAGTGCAGTTTTAGGTACTGGGGTAGCAGTGAAATGAAAGAAACACAAAGTCTGCTCTCACAGAATTTACGTTCTCTTAGAGAGCAAGACAGACAACAAGCAAATAAATAGGCAAATAATAACACAATTTCTCACGGTCATAAAGCTCTGAGAATACAGACTATTGGGATAAGCAGTGGTATTGGGGGAGCTCTACTTTTGGTGGCAAAGTCAATACAAGTCTCTCTGAGGCATTAAAGATGAAAAACAGCGGCAGCTTCATGGAGGAATTATTGCCCCAAGATGGAAAGAAGGTGAGTGAGTTTGAGGGTCAGCAAGAAGAACGCAGCAAGAGTTTTAGGATGACCTGGAAGTAAGTGTAAGTCATATCATAAAGGTCAAAATAGAAAGCTGAGGTTTTGTTCTAAGTGCTAGATGAAACCATCAGAAAACTTTAATCAAAAGTATGAGATGATGTGATCTACTTTTTTTTTTTTTTGAGAAGGAGTCTTGCTCTGTTGCCCAGGCTGGAGTGCAGTGGAGTGATCTCAGCTGCAACCTCCATCTTCCAGGTTCAGGTGATTCTCCTGCTTCAGGCTCCCGAGTAACTGGGATTACAGGTGCCCACCACCATGCCTTGCTGATTTTTGTATTTTAGTAGAGATTGGTTTCGCCATGTTGGTCAGACTGGTCTCAAACTCCTGGCCTCAAGTGATCCACCCACCTCGGCCTCCCAAAGTGCTGGGATTACAGGCATGGGCAACTGCGCCCGGCCTGATCTACTTTTTAAAAGTATATTCTGCAGACTTCCCATTATGATAGCATGGCAGACTAGATTTCCTGAATGACTCTTTCATGGAAAACAACTAAAAATTATGAATAATTATATATTTTTAACATTCTGAAGATCCGGCAAACACGTGAAGAATTTGCAAATGCCAAAATGAAATAAAAACAGGAATCCTAGGAGGTATATTCCTGAAACTGGCTTTTATCATAAGGGTATTTTCTCAATCACAGTGAACTGTAGCACTGAGTGTGATTGACACTCAGGGCACAGAAGAAGGAAATGAAGTCTCAGGCCCATCCAAAGTGGGAGTTGAATAGAAAACCCCCACATAAAGCTCAGCTCTCAAAAGGATGCATCTTAAGGAGCGAATGAGAGATAAAACTACAGCGCAGAAAGAGAAAGCAGACATTCCCATACAGTGTTGGCGGGAGTATAAAAGACTATAACCACTTTGGAAGATGGTCTGGCAGTTTCCCATAAAATTAAACACAATCCGACCCTACGACCCCGCAACTCTACTCCTCGGGTCTTTACCCAAGAAAAACGAAAACATATGTCCAAAAAAATGACTTGTATGGAAATGTTTATAGCAGCTTTATTTATCCTAACCCTAAACTGGAAGTGGGCCCAAGTGTTCAGCAACACAAGAATGGATAAACAAGCTGTGGTATACACATACAGTAGAATACTAGCCAGCAATAAAAAGGAATGAAGTACTGATACACACAACAACATGGATACATTTTTCTTTTAAGACAGAGTCTCACTCCGTCACCAAGCGCCAGGCTGGAGTGCAGTGGCGTGATCTCGGCTCACTGTAACCCCCACCTCCTGGGTTCAAGCAATTCTCCTGCCTCAGCCTCCCGCGTAGCTGGGATTACAGGCGCTTGCCACCACGCCCAGCTAATTTTTTTGTATTTTAGTAGAGACGGGGTTTCACTATGTTGGCCAGGATGGTCTTGATCTCTTGATCTCGTGATCCGCCCACCTTGGCCTCCCAAAGTGCTAGGATTACAGGTGTGAGCCACCATGCCTGGCCAACATGGATAAATTTTTTAAAATTATGCTGAATGAAATAAGCCTCACACAAAAGAACACAGACTGTATGATTGTATTTATATGAAATTCCAGAACAAGCTAAACTAAGAAGAAAAAATAAATCAGAACAATTGATGCCTCCAGTGTTGGAGGCAGGGGACAGGGGATTGACTCTGGGAAGCGGCATGAGAAGACTTTCTGGGGTTATTTTGACATTCTATATCTTGATAGGACTGAAACTTTTAAAATGGTAAACTTGGCCGGGCGTGGTGACTCACGCCTATAATCCCAGCACTTTGGGAGGCCAAGGCGGGTGGATCACGAGGTCAAGAGATCGAGACCATCTTGATCAACATGGTGAAACCCTGTCTCTACTAAAAATACAAAAATTAGCTGGGCATGGTGGCACACGCCTGTAGTCCCAGCTACTCAGGAGGCTGAGACAGGGGAATTGCTTAAACCAGGGAGGTGGAGATTGCAGCCTAGTGAGCAAAGAGAAATGAAATCAGGGAAATGGAGACCTGGTTCTTTACCAGCTGCATGTGCTGTCAGACCAGCCACCACATTACCCGGGCTTTAAGTTTCTCATCAATAAAGCATCATCACTGGACAAGCAGATCTCTATATTCAAAGTCCTATCTAGACTAATTTTGCCTTATGCTATATTCTATCCAGGCTTATTTATTCACATAGCATGCCAACAGAGGGATTCAGATACTCTGATTTTTTTTTCTTTGAGATGGAGTCTCTCTCTGTTGCCCAGGCTGGAGTGCGGTGGCACAATCTCAGCTCACTGCAACCTCTGCCTCCTGGGCTCAAGCAATACTTCCGCCTCAGCCTCCTGAGAAGCTGGGGTTACAGGCATGTGCCACCGTGCCTGGCTACTTTTTGTATTTTTAGTAGAAACAGGGTTTTGCCACATTGGCCAGGCTGGTCTCGAACTCCTGGTCTCAAGTGATCTGTCTGCCTCGGCCTCCCCAAGTGCTGGGGATTACAATTGTGAGCCATCACGTCCAGCCCAGATACTGTGTTTAACTCCAATCCAGTCCAATCCAATCCATGTAATCCTTTTGCATTCATCCAGTCCTCATCAATCCAACCAACCTTATTT